ATAAAACTCTATTAGATACTGTGTTTGTACATTTATTTTATGATTTTGAACATTTATTAAAGTAATAGTACATAGTGTAACAATAGTTTTATGAAAAATATATTAATGTTGAAATATAAATACCTTAATATTTATGAAATAATAAGTAATTATAAGTAAGTAGAAATAATAAGTAAAGTAACTACGGATTTATTGCTTCTTAATCAATGACATGGGTGTGCCTGGTGTTTTTTTTTCTTCAAGGTTCGTTATATTGGGTTCAAAATTGGTCAATTTTAATCTTAAATCCCCTCGAAACTCCACATTTAATTTATTTCTGTTCTTAGTTAAGATTGAATTTACGTGACTGAAACCGGCTTCAACCATATAGGAACTTGGAAATGCTATCATAAATGGCTGAGCTATTTCGTAAAGTCTTACATATTTTTGCATTATATTTATATTTGTCCAAAATTTGCTTATTGTTAAATTTTTAAAAAGCGTCTTTGCTTCAAATCCCCATAATAATTCAGCAAGCTCATCTTGCAGGTTGATGTCCACGTTTTCAATTTGAGCAGAAAATGGCACAATAATCCAATCAGGGATGTCAATGTTTTCCAAATCAACAAAACGCAGTTTAAAATCGTCGCTCAATTTTTGAAGATTACCTGTATATATTTCCAAGTCTTCTTCTTTTATTTCTAATTGTCACATATCTGAAAAATACTGATAATCCATCGACCAATTGACCCTTCCGGTTCGGATCGACCCCCTGGCTCAGATCGACCCCCGCTTATGTTAAATAGACCCCTGGCGGTCTATGTAGACCACTTTGGCGACCTCTGGTCTAAATCATATTCAGAATCAGTAAAGTGCTTCCTGTGATCGGTGATTACTGACTTAAAATAAGGATTGAAAAACAATCCTGTCAGAAATAACATCGTTTTAATTTATTTTAATTTCGATTTTACTCTAATTCAGAAATTAATAAATTTTTTTATAATGACTGATTATGGGGGAAAAAATTAAGGCAAATAATTTCTAAAGGCGAAAGTATTGCTTTTCATTAAGTTTTAACCAGTAATAACTTTAAAACTACAAAAGGCGAATATTAATTAGAATTTAAGTTAATATTAAAATTGATAACCAGGGCCATTCAAGTATGACGTAAGTATGCTTTTGGTTATTGTCGACCACCTCCCCCCTCCCCAGTCAACCAAACTAAACAAATTTCAAAACCGTCTTGTATGCTTACACGAGAAAGTTGCAGCAGTTCCCTTGTTTTTTTTCTTTCTTCTTTTTTTACTATTATTAACTTTGTCAATTTTCGGAAGAAATTCATACAAAAGATATAATTTTTCATAAAACAAAATTTACGTTTTACCTCGTTTTATAAATTTTGAGTCGAACACTCCTTCGCAATCTTTAGCGTTTTCTTTTCAGTGATCAAAACCCTTAACCTCTGTAAGTTCTTGAATAAAAAAGTTTTACTTTTATCTCTATTTTATCAAGTTTTATTTTTATCTATATTTTTCGTAATTTTTTTAATTTAAAAAAAATTTAGGAAAAAAAAATAATTTTACAGGAAAGCGCCCTTAGCGGCACACGATAACATTTTCGGTCATGTTTTCCTTGGTAATAAGGTAATTCTTATTCCTTATGATGTTCCCTTCTTCCCCTAGAAGTTTGTCGCAACATTTACGGGACACCCTGTGCACTTAATAACACTTTTCATATAAACACCTTTCTAAATTTGAGTATGAGTTGATTTTCATATTATTAAATTAGACGTTTTTGCCCACGCTTATTTTAGGCATTTTACTACGAGATTCTTTAAATTTTGACACACACAAGCATAAAAACTTGCTCATCCAGAATATTTCCAGGCAATTAACGAATGACTAAAATTATTTTCAATTAGTTAATTCTTCACTGAAATTTTTTTAAATATAACACATATAAAACTTTTTTTTGGTTATTTTATTCCGCATAATTATTTTTGACCTTTACATAAATGTTAGTGCAATTTAAAGATATAAATAATTTAAACTGATATTTAAATTTATGATGCATAAGCCTTGTTGACGTGAGACAATCACTCTGGTTTTAGAGCAAATCTCTTGCTTTTCCCATGTTTATAAGACTTGTTATGAATATTCAGTCGATCTTGACAAAATTCAAGCACGTTGCTTATAGTATAACCCTCTTATGCATTATACTTTGCATTTACAGAATTTGTCTGAAAAGCAATGTCACTGATTTTACTGCCAAGCGAATGCACGTCACAGCGTGTTCGAACCGGTTGGAATGTGGCAGGGCAGTCAGCTTGTATGCGTGGTCACTGAGGAAATTTTCCAACCATTCTGTGAGTTCTGCGACAGTCAATTTCACGAAACTAATTTTCGTCTCCTCTCAAGTCACTGTGCAGCGCTTGAGCGCTTGCCCTCAAATTTTTGCTCTGAACTTAGCTGAAGTCTGCAGCAGAAATTTTACCAATGGTAAAGACGATTTTTAATGTTACTTGCTTAACGGAATGCAAAATTTACCCGTTGACAAAGCATGCTTTGAAGACTACGAAAAAATAGGTAAATAAGCCTGCAGAGGAAGGACATCAAATATAGGTATGACTAAATTCTTGAACTCAGACCTTTATTAGAGTGCTTGTTTAAGGGCGGAAGCATTAAACAAAAACATTTTATTAGACTAATTCAAATAGAAATTTTTTTTCTTTTTTTTAAAAAAAGTCAAACGTTTCTATATCTTTCAGTTTTAAAAGAACTCGACTGCACAATATTATAATTTTACTGTGATTAGTTTTTCCACTACATAGAAACACCCGAAAAACCGTTAGTATTTTAGTTAGTTTAGTAACCGCTAGTAAACCATTTAAATATTTTAAAACTAATTCAAAATTTAAACAAAATGAGACGTGTTGCGCAATTTCAAACATATCTTATGTAGCTGTGAAAAGCACACACACTATTACCTTGCTATTTTGCCATCGCAACGTTCGAATACGCAATCTGGGAAGAAGACAGTTCCATCTCTTGGTCCCCTACCCTCTCCTCCTCTTTTGAGTTGTACAGGAATGAACAGTGCGCAAAATAAAAAAGATATCCCCCTGAGTAACTTTCGTTCTAATGATTGGATTTTTGCGTACTAAGTGTCAATATTTATGGTTCCTGGGGGTGAATTCAAATACGCTAATTAGTTAGTACTACTAGCTATTAATTAAATTACAAAATCAGACAGAAAAATGTACTTCTCTAATTAAACATATATTTTTTATGTACATTTGTATTTCTGACCCTCAAATTAGAGGGGTGGACAAAATTTCAGAAAGATTGGATCATAAATTTGTGTGTGTGGGAGGGGGCAGAAGCCAAAAAAAATAGCCAAGCTATGTCATCGCTGCGAATGTGTAATTTAAGATAGCCATCGAGACAATTCAAGAGAGCAGTACCTAATTTTACACCGTTGCTATAAAAAGGAATGAAATAAAGTAGTGTGATTGCCCATTGAGGTTTGTGTTTTAATAGTTAATAGAAAAATATCTGAAATTTTGTAGGCAACAGGCATTTTTTGAGCTGATTTCTGACCAAAAAGCAAAGATTGTTTCCTTTTTAATCTCCTTTGAAAAGAAAATTTGAATCGATTTAAAAGATATCGATTTAAAATTTATTTGTGTTTTTAACGTTGTTTTTACTTCATTAATATGATGATTGAGGATTTCACACTAAAATCAAATTTACCCAACTTGTTGTAAATATAATAAAATTTTTAGGCTTTGATTTTACAGCTTCGATCGAGTCTTTTATAACTGTTTACAAAATTTTTTCAATTCGCTTAAAAAGTTCTCCAAATATAGCTAAATATGCAAAAATTAAAATTAATAATAAAGGGTTCAAATTTTGGATAGCTCTCCTGACCAAAGTATGGTAACCATATTTCCAAGTTTGGCTACCCTATATTTTAAGGGTCAGAAATCCACATTCGGGGAGAAAATGTATGTTTATTCAGAGAAAGTACGTTTTTGTGTCTGACATCGTAACTTAAAATATCGTCTGCACTAACTAATTAGCATATTTGAGGTCATCCTTTTGAACCATCAAGATAGAAACCTACAACGTGAAGATCTGATCATGAAAATTCAAAGCTATTCAGGATGCCCGAATTTTTTTTTTCTTTCTCCCACATTGTAGATACTACTATTTTTTTCCCCTTATTTAATATTTTTCGTATTTAATCGTCAAAAATATTTTTTTCTAGCCTTCAAATCTTTCTTTCGTTTTCTTTTAGAACTATGTTCAATGTAGTTCTCAGTTCCATGCAGTTTCCCGAATCAAAAGTTTTTAATCTGCTTGAATATCAAGGCAAAAACTAACGTACTTCCTTCTTTTATGACTCTCCACACGCTAGTGTTGAAAACATAGTTGTGCTGCCATACGCAGAGAGTTCTTCTCCCCGCCTTCTGTAGACCGTTTCCATTGCCAATAGTTTCACCAAACTGAATTAAGTGGGGCAAGGAAAATAAAAACTTTATAAAATAATTCAAAAACTAATGAACGTTTAACAATCAACATTTATGGTTCAGACCCTTTGAAGCTTAAAACTACACATATATAGTTTTTTTGATTTTCACTAGCTTTACATGTTCTATTTAAGTAATTTTTCCTAACACCCCATTGTACCCCATACCTGAGACAGGACAAGTTACTTCATTTAGATTTATTTATTTATTTATTTTTTGAACAAAAAATCTAAATCTTATCTTCTCAAAATACCATTATATATACAAATTTCTTTAAGAATGGGAAAGTGAAGCGTTCAAATAAATATTTACTATTTTAATTTACTATATATTAGTATTTTTAAAACAAAATTTTAACTAAACAGCACATTCTCCGAAACATATTCTGAAAGTTTAACCTAGTATACTTTTCTCTGCTAAATATTGTTAACGTAACATACCACTTTCAAAGTCAGCTCACTGTGCAAAATCAATCCATTCTTCCTTCCTCTCAGAAACAAAACAACTAAACTCGTGGTAAAATTGTTATTTATTTATTTTTCGCAAAATCTCTGTGATTTAAAAATTTGTGCAAGTGAATATTGAAATTAAATTTAAATGAGCAATATATAAGCTATTAAAAATATCTGTAAGGTTTTGAAAAGACGTAAAAAATGCTTTTGTAAGAATTGAATAATGGCGATGTTCTCCAATTTATTGACAACTAATTTCTTAGTTCCGTCTTTGATTCAATGTGTAAAGAATAGCAATAGATTCTTTGCAAAAACAATCTTAGGTGGGTTATAAAATTTATTGTATAATTAATTCCAATTGTGCATGTTATAACTATTTTTTTCTCAGTGTGTTAAATAAGAAATATTCCAAACTGAAGTCTTGTAAAATTGCGGTAGCTTTACAATTTCGATTTACAGGACAAAAATTTGCAATGAGCTACGTTTTCAAGTATATATATGTTGTGATTTGTTAGTACTATTTCTCAAAAGTTAGTTATTGAACTGACATAAAATTTATTTGTTAATTTTATTGGCTCAGTCCGCTTGACACAACGTAGACATAATAGATTTGCTGGCTAGATTAGACAAAATCATTTTTCGAACAGCTCAAATTTTTTGTTGTTAAGTATAGAAATTGGATCGTAAATTTCATTTATTTTTCATTTAAGTTTGATAATTTTATGTGCAGTTATGAAAGGTAACAAAACATATAATTTTATACCTTTATTCACAGTAGCGAAATTCTGTTGATCAACCTGCAGAACCCTCATTATAAACTCAACTCATAATTTTTCGTATACTAAAGAAGTGCAAATAATTCTAAATCCAAGTTGATGTGGGCTTGCTAGCAGTCAACAATACAGTTCCTTACAGACTACCTAAACCTAACATTTAATCTCATAGACTACCACCTAATAAATATTATTTTAACCGTCGTTGAACAACCGACCCAATTTAGGGTTTGCGGCTGCTAACTAATGTTCAACTCCATAACCTTTTAATTTTGAACCCATTCCAAAACACAAGGGAACTCCTGGATCAAGTATTGGGAGAAATTTACCTTCATGGAGGACTTTTTGAAGCAACAAACCCACATTTGTGTTACATAGAGAGGAAAACCTTCCACCCTAAGCCTGACAACTCTAACCCATGATTCCGTCTACCACTGAGGATATTTTATGTCAGCACTGTGATGGGTGTGAGCCGGGTGAGGAACTATCACTGGGATCTAACCTGGATCACCTCATTGGGAGGCGAGCGCTATATCCCCTGAGGCACCGCGGCGCAATTATTATTTTTTTGGGAGGGGTCAAGTTTCCCAACTAGTTAGATAGGATTTTTAAATCTGTCGCACCATCTACAATCGCCAAGGTCCCAAATTGATTTTAAACTTACAAATTTAAAGAGAAAAAACTTAGAAATATTTGCCCAGGCGTGGCTGCAAGTTATACCTTTTGGATTAGTCTCTTTCTGTGTGTTTTTTTTAAAGTTTCTCTCGGGCTGCTGCCAGGAAGTTGCCAAGTATTCTGCCACAGATCAGGATACAGAAATCTCCCCTTTTAAAATTTAAATGTCTTCCTCCATAGTAAAAATAATGTTTTTCAGCAATTTTTAAAAAACACTATTCTAATAAAAAATATATTCAAGAAGGCTAGTGTTAAACGAATATTCAATTACATTTTTATTTAAGATGAAAAAAAGTCGAATTATGATATTTATTAATTATAATTATTAATAATTACAATAAATGTAATAATATTCAAACAGTATGACTTTACATCAGTCGAACAGTGGAAAATTTGTCTAACTATACCAAAGCAAAAGATTCTTTTGCAGACATATTTAATTTAAGTGTTCTTGAATTATAGCACTTAGTACAAAATAATATTTCTTGGATTAATTAAAGAAATAACTTTTTTTCAATATCTTTTTCAAAAGCAAAACTAGAAACCCGGCTATAATTTAATTTATGAAGGTTATATGATTTGATTTTATTATTATCATATTAGCAAAATGTGCAAAACTTAAAATGTTTTACAGTGAAACCTCGGGCGCAGCCACCCTCTATACTACGGTATAATGGAGGTTGTACATTACTAAGGATTACCTCCACTGACTTTAAACGATTTTGATTTTTGTAAGTGTAATTTTTTTGGTGCAGATGTGTTGGCATCAGGAAAACAGGTAAGATGAAAAAAATTTAGCGCCAGTAAAAATTATCCCTACCAATATAATAATGTGCAAAAACAAATTTACAGAATTATAGAACTATTTTATAAAAATACACAATTATGCTTTTTGTTAGAGTTTTCATTAAATTTATATCATAAGTTTTTTCTAAACTAACATGTTTTTCTAATTTAACTTTCAACTTTAAAAATAAATCATAGCATCTTCTGTAGTGCACTCTGACAACAATATGAGGTTTTTGTTGACAATCTTTTTCACTCATCGTCGAAAATTCTCTAAATAAGAGCTTTGCACAAATATTTTAAATACATTTTAATTTACCTATTTTTTTAGTTAATATTTTTTGTTTTGATATTTTTTTATATTTCCTTATCTGTTCTTTTCCTCATTTGGTTTAGAGGTTTGCCCGGTCGCTTCGATAGGTTTTGACAATTTCACCTGAAGACTTTCTTAAAGATAAAGTCTATTTAAGGAAATTCCATGCCCATAGTTAGATAATATAGACACACGCCATGCATGGATACACGAGCAAATAGCATAATTTATGTAACAGGGGTCTGTCTAGGTTTTTCTGAGAGGTACCTATTTTGTGAAAATTAAGACATAATTTGTGAAAATTAAAAGTTATATTAAAAAATCAACACAAAAATATGGATTTATCCTTTTTTACGGGGTACAAAAAATTTTGAGAAAAAGTATTTTGTGAGACTACCGTTTTTCCTAAAGTGGAATTTGTGAAGATACCGCTAAACGGTAGTAAATTTGGCCTAGACAGACCCCTGTGTAAGGTAGAAGAAAGTCAGTGTTTAGTTGTTTGCATGATGTTCCCAAAGAGAAAAGATAAGTATTTAAACATATGAATATAAAGTATTAATTAAGAAGTTATTTTACTAGCTAACTATCTAAAATATTTGTGTTTTTCTGATAAAATCTTTTGTAATCACTAGTTTTGTTATCATTGTAAAAGTTAGTTGCCTTTTTTGACAAGATTTTTAACTGTATTACTGTGAATTATTTATTTTATTAAAACATATCAGTATAATTTTCTTTTTATCGACGGAGAAGTTTTGCCGCCCAAATGGCCTGTTAACAAAATGACCTTGTCAATGAAATGAGCTATCGACGAAGGGGTTTCAATATTTACCGATTCATTATATACTGTCTTTTTTTTCTTGCTATTTTCTCCCTTCATTCACTACTTTTGTCAAAAACCAATCATAAAAGTTAATGCAATTGCTTTTGCAATGCTGATTTACAATGTAGCACATTAAAAATTAATCTTAAAATAAATGTGCAATATACTACTTAAAGTGTGTAAAATACAACTATATCACCAAATCTAAAAAAGGTTTCGTTTTTGCGGCGTGATGTAAACCAAAAAAATAGTAAATTTTAAAAAAAAAAGTGCTTCTTTTCTGGCAATTATTACATACTATAAAAATTTTGATTTAAAAATTTCAGCACAAATATACTAATTTACGATTACTGATTGTTGCTGAAATGAACGTTACCCGTAGGGTATATACATATATTTTTAAGTTATTGCAAGTACAACACCTAGGCAGTGTCACTTGGTGCACCCTGGAGAATTCAGTTGGTACAAATACTAAGCAAATATCACTAGGAAATATCCAAAATGACCTTGAAACAAGTTTTGAAATCATGAGCTAAAAATTTTTAAACGCAATTAGTTGTGAAAACTTGGTCTAAAATTACTACAAAAAATTAACATTGTTGAAAACTTCCTTTTTCTTGCCTTTTTTTTAAATCTTTTTTTTATATCTGTTGCTATAGTTTAATAATATTTATGTTATTTTACTTTTTATAATAGTTTAAAAGGAGTTTATTATTAGAATTTTTGCTGAACTATGTATAATATGTTTATAAATACTTTAAATAATAGTATTTAATTGTTTATTTTAAATTGTCTGGTGAGATATAGAAGTTTTGTATGTTAATGCTTTTTAAGTAGTTACTTTTATAAAAAATGCTAAAAAATTTGTATTACTCAATAAGTATATTTAATAAACTATCCAAGTATCCACATGATTGTAAGTGTATCTTTAAGAAATAGAAAGAAGAAGAAAAAAGTTTAAAGAAAAGGAAATGAGACAAAACATATTTCTCCCTGGGTGTTGAAAGTATTTTGTCTTGTAAAGGAAATGAATTAAAAAGTTGGGAAACTGTGATTTAACCATACTTATTTGGTGGTTGAAAATATCTTATCTACTTGTGAAATGATTTTAATTGTGTACATTTCTTTTTTAGGGTCACTGACTGGTAAAAGTGGTAAAGTATTAGGTGGCGCATTTGACAAGAAGAAACCTCTTCCAGTTGAAACAGATCCTCAAAAGCTAGTTAACTATTGCTGTGGATGCAATATTAACAAGGAAGGGGAAGATCCCAAGTTATTAGAAGATTCCGAATACCCAGAATGGTTGTGGACTTTAAGGCCTGGCCCACCTCCTCCGCTTGAAGAAATGGATCCAAACACCAAAGAGTATTGGGAACGTCTCTTCTTCCTACAACGTATACGAGGTCTGCGCCTCAAGCGTGCAAAGATAAAGAAAAAACTTTTTGTTAATGAAGAGGACAAAATATATAAATTAAGAAAACTGCGATTCAGAGCACTCGCTCATAAATATTCTGCTGGTTATGATAAACCTCCTAAATGGGACAAGGATGGCTGGAGAATTATCAAAATGGAATAGAATGTTTATTTAATTTGTTTACTTAAGATTTTGTACTAGTTAGTTACGAATAAAAATTGTTGATTAAACTTTTGTTATTATCACAATTCACTCAAAGTTATTTTTTATTAGCTGTAAGTCAAAAATTAGAGAGAAATTTGCATTCATACAGATTATTTGTGTCTAGATTCTGTTAAATAGACAAAGCATGCTCTTTTTATTTTGTGACTTAGCAGAGATAATTTATAGTCTAACTGTAACTATCCGCCATAACATCAAAAAGAACAGCTTTCCAACGGGTCAGGGAAAACCTGGAATTGCCAGGGAATTTTATTTCTAAAATGCAGTGAAAATTGCAATTTTTTACAAAAAATCTGGACAATTCCCTATATTCTGAAGAATAACCAGTCTTAAAATTGTCAGCAACAGTAATTAGTTCTTGAGATAAAGTTAAATAATTGTAACATTTGTTACAATTACTTTATAAAATTCCACTTTTTATTGAAACTTTTCCATGTTTCCATTCTCATTCTATTATATGTTTTTCCTCACAAAATCTAATATTAGACATTACAGATAGAAAAAAAATCAAAGTTTTTTGATGAAATATTGCATTGTATGGATAAAATATGGTATGGATTTTCATTGAAATTTACCTAATATACCTGGAAAAGTCAGGGAATGTTTTTTCTGAAATTGCATGGGGTAACATTCATAAACCATAGTAGAACTGAAATTTTCTTTCTCACATAGGAACATTTTCTAATTGTACCTGTTGAATTTCTTTCTTGGCTAAAATATAAACAAAATAGCTTAAGGATCCACCCGTCGCCAAAAGTTGTGCTCAAAGCCTTTTAACTTTGCCATTGAATTGTCTAAAATATTAATAAATATGTAAAAGAAAGCGAGTGACGGATAGTTACTGATCTAGTTTACAGTTTTTCTCAAAGTAAAAGAATGTGACAATTTATGCAAAGGGTTTAGAGTTTGCAGTAACATGTAATTACTTGTAAATTTGTTAATAAATTAAAAGAGAAGAAAAAGAAAATTACTCTAGTAGATAAAATGAATAAAAAATAATTTCAAAATTCTAGCAACAGTTATCATATTAATCTGATACAAATGTAAACTTAAGTATCTTTTTTGTTGTGTGCCAATGCCTATATAAATGCACCGTAATTTGCTTTTTATAATCTAATGTAATAGCTTAAATTTATTCACATTAATTTTTTTAATTATCTGCACAGAAGCAATCTAAGTATTCCTCGCATATTTATAATTACAGTATTGTGTTAATATTGGCTTATGACTTTGTATTTTGTAGTTTTTGTGGCCCACAAAACCAAAAATGGTCATGCTTTTCTGAGTCTGAGTATAATTTGTCTTGGTTATACTTTATAAAACATAAAGAATTGCTTTAACTTTCGAATTTATCCTGGTATATTATAATTTTGCCTTTTTACAATCGTATTTTTAAAAAAGTGTTTCATTGTGTGATGAATTAAGTATAACTTCTATGTCCTAGAATAAAATGTAACTATATTTCTAGAAATGTCAAACATATAGCTCACCCCAGAAATGGACATCATTACATAAATAATGTTGTTGAAAAATATAACTGTGATAAATCCCTCAAAACATTTACTTTTTTTAATAATTATGGTTTATTATAATTATGCAAATATAATTTTTTTGCATTTTTTTCTTGAAATAAAAGAAAAAAGATATAAAAAATTTACGTCTGAACTTTGTGAACATAGATCAGAACATTCAAGAATGTTATGACCTGTCTAACTCTTAGGTCACATATAACCCACCCACACTTTGTTATTTATTAGTATCTATACCATCCACAATTGTTAGCTATTATTATAATTTTATGGTTAGTATTTATTTTATTTATAAAAGAATTTAAAGAGGGTAGAGCAAGCAAAAGAACAATCGCCGAGTGACTTGAAATCAAAGAAGCACAGCTGTAGAATTAGTGATTTTAAAATGTTGTAAAACTTTGTTTTTTCACAGTAAATTTAAAATATGCTCCTAATAATATGCAAAAGAAATGAATTAAAATCTAATACAATTCTAACCAGTGTTAAATGGCATTTTAATGTGGTTTAGTGGTATTGACACCTATTCTAAAATTGATTAGCAGTAAATTACAAAATAACAGTTCGTCACGTTTAATTAAAGTATTTACCACACTGTGCTGTAATATATATATAATACTTTTCAAGAGACATCATTAATGATATTTCTCAGAATCTTTAAATTTATGCTTAAAAAATTACTCATTTTTACAGTTTGAAAGTTTTGAAGCTTACCATTGAAAGTTTTTATTTGCAACTAATGTTTTTTTTAAATCGGTGATATTTAAACTGATCAACTTAAACCTTAAGGATTGCTATCTATTATTACATGAAAATCCGACTATTAAATCTAATCTAGTCAGAGGTAATATCAACAAAAGCAAAAGGCTCCAGTTGATATCGTAAATTGGCAGCCTAATGAATGATTAGTAGTTAATAAAATTTATAACCTGTGGACGAAGTTAATTTACCTGCTAAATTTGAAAATTTGCATGCGAAATTATTTCACCGTTTGGAAATAGAGTAAAAGAGAAAATTTTGAAGTAACTTAATTTGCACAAATGTACTCATGTAAAAAGATTGTTGCTGAAAAAATAATGCACCTAAACTGTATACTATGAATGCTTTCATCATAAAATAATGTCACAAACTATCTTCCTTATTGTTATTTTTTCCGTTATTACTTTGGAAATATGCGAGTATAGTTTTACCTATCTTGTGCCGCAACGCTCTCTGTGATGCGAATACAGCAAAATTTTAGTATGAAGAAAAGTCACAGTTCTGATTACAGAAGAGCAAATATTTTAAAAAAATTACTCCACTGCATTGTCTGGGCGCGAAAAAAAAAATTACAAAAATTGAGTATTTAGTGATTTTAAGATTGGGAAAGCTGTGCAAATTGCACCAAAACAAAAAACCTGCTTTTTCTTTCTTTCTAAAATTGCGCCTAACTGATACAAAACTCTAATAAGAGCGAAAAGTGCGACTTTGGCCCAATATGCTGGCGTCTAATTTGTGCCCAATAATCAGCTATCACCAGTGCTGGATTATCCATTAGGCCATGGCCTGGGGCCCCTTAAAATGGATTTTTTGAAAATAAATTTAAAAAAATTAAGAAAAACAATGATTTTTTTAAAAAAAAATCCATTTCAAATATATATTATTAAAATACAATAATTTTTTTACATAATGGTAATCATATTTATTTATTATTTAAAAGTATTATATAAATAAAAAATATACGAGAAAAAAAATTTAATCTAAAGGCCCCAAAAATTTGAATAGCCTAGCCCCCCCCCCCGTATGCTTAATCCGGCCCTGGCTATCACAACAGCAAATTAAAATTATCAGGTCTGGAAAAACTGTCATTTAACAACGTGAATTTACGATGGAATCGTGTCAAAAAGACCTAAAATTCCAATTACGCTTCTCGTATTAAAATTGTGTTTAAAATATCAAAATTTAGAATAAAAAAAGAAGTGTTTGAAAAAACGATCGTCAAACAACGTGAAATTATAATAGAAATAAGCGCGTCAAAAGTGGTTTTTGAATAAATTGTTTAAAAATTGTCAAAACTTAAATTCGAGTGTCGTTATAACATAGTAATAATTGAAAATATCGGAATTTGAAAACCTTCATGGAAATGGCCTTAGAAAACGACATCGATAAACAATGAATCATCACGAATTGAGTATGTCAAAAAGTTATTTCTCAAATTCAAATACAAAATTCGCATGCGTTATTAACAGCGTATTGAAAATAGCGAAACTTATTGAAATTGCCGAGAAAACAATCATCCAACGACGTGGTTTTGAGATAAAATTGCCGCAAATCAAATACGATAAAATAAAAAAAAATTTAAAAATTACATTTATTCCTGTAAGATATATATTGAGTTAGTTTTCATATATTTATTTACATGATCCTTCCTTGGATTTTTGTTATACATCTTTTACATTTAATAATACATTTGTTTTCCGAACACTTTTGAATGTAATTACACAAATGGGCGACCTTTGTGCTAAAATACAAACTAAGGTAAACAACGTTTAGGAGCACAAAAATAGTTATAAATATTTTTGTGCTCCTAAACGTTGTTTACCTTAGTTTGTACTTTTGAATGTGATATAAAATGTAAATTTATATGCACAAATCTGGTTAAAAATGTAATTTTGTAAGCATTATGCTGTTCCGAATGTAAAAATTATTGGTTCCAAAAATCAAATATACTTGCTCTAAAACACATTTTTTCTGCTCTAAAATGATTAAAAGCTGCTGTTTTATTCCAGTGATACTAATCAAGACCAAAAAATTTCACCAAACCAACATTTTTTTATTTATTTGTTTTAAAGAAGTAAAAGAGATTTATGATTTATTTTAACGTTTCAAGCTATTTTTAAAACGTCCGCTTGATATATATATATTTTATTTATTTATTTATTTTTTCCAGTCCGAAGAATTAGATTTTTCGAGTTCGACTCGAAACGAGTTTTTCTCAATGCAAAAAAAAGGTGTCTATTTTTACTTTTTAATAGATATAAATTTGAATTCTAAAGCTATTTTGGTGAATACAATTATAAGAATTTTTTATCTCTTTGAATCTCGCATAATTAAAATCTAAACATAAACGTAATCACAAAACTGTCAAGATCACGTAGATATGATAATTTGCAACATTTTACATTACATCTCAAAATGTAACAAATGAAAAGTTTTTAAATTGGATATTTTTTTTAATTTTAAATTTCCATTTCATTCCCCAATATATAAAATAATATTAATTAATTTCGATTTCGGTATTAATGTTTGGATTTATGACTATGATACGTAGATGTAGTATTAATATTCAAATAAATGAGTACTATATAAAATTTATCTTACTAACCTGAATCTTCAATAAGACACTAAAATGGACCATTTTCGCATATTGTGCAGTATATAGCATGTTTTTTTTTTGCAGTAGAAAATCATACACGAAAAGACTTTTGCTTTGTTTATTTACT